ATTACTATGCCAATGGCCTTTTATTTCTGCAAATGAATGGAGGCACAAATCGTAAGCTAATTCATACCTCCCTGCTTTGCTGCAAAAAAATTCAGTTAATAACCATCTATATATTTGCCTCCAATTATCTATTTGCAGCTACCAAAGCTTCAGGGAAATCTGCGTTCACAAACTGCAACCTCGGAAGAGAGAAGTCCAAAAATTTGGACATTAACCTTCACTGCTGCAGTTATCGCATTAAACTGTCTCCTCTGACAAATGGACGCAAGGAACATTCAAAGATCGCGGTATCGATGTAATACAAGTTGTGTGCATCTCTCTGGGTTTGCTAGGAAGGGTATTTCTGGTCAAATGGGTCAGATAAGAAGTGGTTTGGGTTTTTTTTCTACAGGAATGAAAATTCAATGGGGGAATCATTCATGCAAGTTCTCAGTGGAAATGCAAGGCATGTAGCCAGCTTTTCAAAGAGTCTGTCTTTTTGGATATTGTATAATAACTGTCTGACTTCATAAAGGAGGCCTGGATAAGAAACAAACAATAAAACCTACTGCCCTGATTTAATATTCATTAATATTTCACCCTATAACTGATATAAGATAGTGTGCAAGAAGAATGGGCAGCACTGGCAGATCTGAAGTGCTTTATTCCCACCAACATCTCCATAAAGTAACTCTCTGAACAGCTAGAGGTGTATAAACTGTGTGTTGTTTTACAATACATTTCATGTTTGACGCTTTTTTTTAAAAACGGAAAAAAAGTAATACCTTGCTTTATGAAAGCTGGATGGCTACTGATTACTTCTGTCATTGCTCAGAGCAGTATGCACTGAAGCACGCACAGAGCTGCTGGAAAAATCAAAATCACCGGGAACGTTAGGAGTTTGCAGCCAATGTCCACACTGCAGAGGAAGAATGCAAAAGAAGTCCTCTGCCCCGGGGTCTTTTGAGGACAGAGACATGCAAGATCCTGGGAATGCCTTGAAACAAGCCACCCCTGGAACAGAAATACAAGTGAACCTGGAAACCTGCAAAAATACTGCCTTTGAGTGAGGGGTGCAGTACATCAAGTTTCTTTTCCCCTCTTGAACTAGAAAACTGGGAATATGAAGTTGGATATGTAAATAATTCCCATCCCTTTTGGCACCCAGCCTTTCAAACAATATTCCAAGCAAGAAAACCATAGTTTTCCTGTTTATTTTTTTGCCACTTGTGCTATCAGCAAGCCTTCAAGCCAGATGCTTTCCTGTTTGCTGGACAAATGACACATAAAAAAGACTGAGAGTCATAATATAGACAGTCATATTTTTGGGCCCTGATGGGTCTGGGCAATGGAGAAGAGAGACTATCAAAACTGCAGATGTTTTCCCCGGCACTCAGTCAATACTGATAACTACTCCAATGTTACTTTTTGCAGTACTTTGCAAGACTCTGGTAGACAAGTACAAATAATAAACGGTGCCCAACTACAGTTGTAGGGGTAGTGAGGAAGATATTTGGACCTAAACTCTACTTTCTATTAAAGAAGTTACTGCAACATACTCCAAAATTTTGATCTACATGTATTTCAGGATGGATCTGAGCCTCGATCATTGGATCCAGGCTTCCAGCACCTGAAGGGGCTACAAGGAAGCTGGGAGGGACTTTTTACAAGGGCCTGTAGTGACAGGACAAGGGGTAACGGGTTTAAATTGAAAGTGGGGAGGTTTAGATTGGAGATCAGGAAGAAGTTCTTCCCGGAGAGGGAGGGGAGGCACTGGGACAGGTTGCCCAGAGAAGCTGTGGATGCCCCATTCCCTGGAAGTGTCCAAGGCCAGGCTGGATGAGGCTTGGAGCAACCTGGTCTAGTGGAAGGTGTCCCTGCCCATGGCAGGGGGGTTGGAACTGGATGGGCTTTAAGGTCCCTTCCAACCCAAACCGTTCTGTGATTCTGTGATCTGGGTAGAAATTCTGAGTAACCCAGCTGTTAAAAAACACAGAATTTGGGTCTGATCTCTTAAAGCTACAGAAGCAGCCATAAAAGGCATACCTAGTCACGATAAAAATTAGGAAAGCTGAGAGCTATTCCAGGAGTATGGTTCATGGAGTTTTTTCAGCCATAAACTGTATCACCTGAAATACAAAAACTCATTCCACCCTGTCCCCTTCGATGAAGTCAAGAGATTTCCCTGTTCTTCCAACCACCCTATTTTTACAAATATTTGTTGCATTCCCATACACTCCCTGTGAGCCTCATTCTGCAATGAGGCAGTTCCCAGTTCTCTTGCGAAAGGTTAATTTGAAGCCTGTCTCTCTTGTGCCAGACCCTAACCTTGGTCTCCTACCAAGGACTTGGGTCACTTCTCCCAGCATCATAAGAATGGCTGCCCAGCTTTCAGTCCGTCACACAGTCTGATTCTGCTTCTCTCTCTGTCTTCAGGACAAAGACCATACCTCAGGCTTAATTTCTGCATGGGGTGTAGCACATCGCACATGCTACATTCATTACCATCATGGCGTGTTTGAAACACACCAAACACATATGCTACATGAGCTCAGATGGCTGGAAAACCACCTCCCAGTGTTTTCCTTTTGACTCTTCTGTCAGTCGTAAGCAAAGCTGTTATCGCTAAATCTCTTCTTCCAGTTGAATATCATACTTCCAGAGTACTCCACTCTTCCAGATAGAATGTTTTCTTTCATTTCTTAATATTCCTTGTACCTGTGGTATACAGTAATCTCTCTGGCTCCGAGAGAGAGAGTCCTTTGTTGTTCACTGAAGCAGTTCCAATTGCTCCTGCTATGCAGCACTAGTATTTCTGCAGCACACCTTCCCTAGACTTTGTACTGGGGAATATAAACTACACAAAGATACAATTACTAATCCCTCGCCAGTCACTTGTAGTTTGTTCAAAGTCTTTTCTCCATTCCCTCTTCCATTCCACGTAAGCTTTACCCTTTAGGTCTGTATGCGCCTCTCCCACCATCCAGAAATACCATTAACTTTATATATACCCATGAAAAAACCAAGCCTTCCTTCAGAGGGCTTAATTATCCCAAAATCAGGATTACTACTAACCACTTAAACCACCAGCATTCTGCCACAGAGGAACAGGGGCTTTGAGAAATCAGTTCAGGGTGTGAGGTCACGTGTTTTGGAGCTTTTCTGTTAATATTTTAGATATTCAAACAGGAGTTTCCACCGTTAACGCCAACGTAAAACACATTAGTGAATTACATCAGAAAAGTCAAACCTCTGCTGCCACAGAATGAATGCACTTACTATGAATATTAATAGACCCCTTGGAATTAAACATTAATACTTAACAGACATACTCGCAAAGTTTAAAATCGTACAAACATCGCAGGGAGAGGCAGAGTAGAGAAGGAACAGACAAATGAGACAAGCCCCAGAGTCTGAAGACGCTATTAATTCCACAAATGAATGTGCATTTCTGAGATAAGCTAAAATATTTTCACGAGTAAGAGGATGACTTGCCACTATGGATAATTTCTTGTAGCGGAACAGAGGACACAAGCATTTGTTTCTGTTTTTCTCTCTCGCCCATCATACTGCAGAAGTGTAGGTCCGTAACTGCCTAACGGCGTCAATGCCCTGAGCTGGGCAGCGAGATTGACGGTTCAGAATTTCCATGGACATGGGCTGTTTCTCCGTACCTGAGCATTGAATTCCCATCACCTGCCGCACCACCTTCCCATGTAGCACTAACAGCACTTAGAAAAGCTCCGTTTCACCGCAGCATTCAAGCACGCACCCTTGTCTAAACACGAGCCGTTCCACACAGGCGAGTTCTTCAAGGTAAGCTCTGCGTAAGCCTGCACAGTGGGTGGGAGTCGTCTCCTCTGACTTCAGCCAGCTCCCAATTAGGCATCTTGTCTAAACTAATCATTTAGGCTCTCAACGGAGTGAGAAAAGCAATGCCAGGGTGAGTCACCGCCGCTATCCTAGACACCTGTCTTCAGGCAGGATAAATAACCCAGCTTTCTGCACTGACAGGGCAGGGAGCTGGGATCGATTTAAACCGGGTGCCTGACTTGAAGACAGCTGAAGTTAACGGAGAAGAATCTTCCCTTTGGCTAAAGTGAGGAATAAAAAGGCGGCCAGCACTTCGCTAGTGAAATTGGGTAGTGTGTATAATCAAAGGCTGCACGGGATAGCAGAGCAGATACTTTCACTAAGAACTGCGGCTCCAGAAACGCATGAACAGCAAAGCTAGATGTGCATTTGGTTGCACACTCCTTTAGGATTCAGACATTCTGCAACCACAGACCACGGCACGAGCCCTGAGCAGCACAACACCTGCCAGGAACGCATGGGAAGAAAACGCTGCACCAGAATATCCCAACAGGTAGGAAGAATTCCTCAAAAATAAAGTTCCAAGCCAGGCAACCTTGATAATCCATCCCTCCCACCAGAACGAACCCTCTTTGGTAGCAGGCTGGAAAAGAAATGTAATTGAACATCTCTCTGCCCCAGCAACAACAAATTTCTCTCCTTCAATCCAAGTCACACTCTCACTGCTTCCCGAGGCAGCTTCTGTCGCTCCTCAAATCCCTGCAGCAGCTCTTCCTGGTCTTTTCAATAGCTTGTTCAGAGCAGCCATAGGAGAAAAGCGCCAGCCCTCAATACTGACCCTGCGTTTCACTGTTCAGCAGGAGAAGTTGTTTTTCTGGACAGCAGCCCAGAGATCCTGGACAAAGCCAGAGCAGCAGCAGATGTTATGATGCATGCTCTTCTGCCCCTGGTTTGGGTAATGAGGCAGCAAAACCCACAGAGCATGAGAGCACAAACGCCAAACCAGAGACTGTGGCCTGTGCCTTCATCTTTTTCAGTATGTTTAAGACTGGGCTTTGTTGCAGACTTCTGAGACACGTGAAAAGATCTTTAAAAATACAGATCGATGCCTCCTATTGTTCAGAGAGAGGGAAAAAGAAAGATATTCTCTGCTCTAGCTGCAAGGAGCATCTCTCAGCTGCAGGAAGCACGTGCCCAAATTGACTTACCGCAATCATTTGCGCCACGTAGCTCTCCGGGCCGGTGTATTCAGTTGGATCTTTAACTTTGACAAGAACTATAAAGTACAAATAATGCCACATGTTGTGTTCTGACTTTATATGCTCCTCAAACGAAACGGTCTTGTTATCAAATTTGTCTCTCTCCAGTCCTGCAAAAAAGACATGAACATAATGCAAAAAAAATAAAAATACTCAAATCTGTTAAATATGTTGGAGAAAGGAACCTAATTTAAAGGATCATAAATTTGCAGGATCTTAATTTAAAAGCTATAACCACACAGAGTAACTGCCAGGCAAGAAATACCCGGCCAGAAGGCCTTCCTGACAGAATTCTTTCAGCGCAGCGTTTATCCTCTTTTGTGATATTTCCTCTTAATAACAACAACAATATAATAAACATGTTACAGTTTCACAGTGCCTTCTACGCGGAGGGCTATAAAGTCCTTTACAAATGCTGGCTCTGATTCTTTCTAAATGTATACCGGGAAGCACACAGCGTGCCATCTAGGTCCCGATCTTGGAAAGATTTATGCACACGTTTAGCATCAAGCATGCCAATAGGGATTGTTTGTGCGCTTAAACCTAGCAGAGAGCGTGAGTCTCGGCAGCTTGGCAGTCGCAGAGTCTTTACAGAGCTGCAGTCGTAAGAAATTTTTATGTTTCTTCCTGTAACAGGTCAAATCTCTGAAGAAGAATACCACAGTGAGGAAGGACAGGATTCACAAATGGTACAGCTTTCCTCCCTGGATCTCTTGTGGAGCCTTCCACAGACACTAAAGGCCTTGTGCACTGCACAACGTTCACCCCTGTCAGTACAACCATGGAAACAGCACCCAGCCTACGAAAAAGAAGGTATTTCTGAAGGCCCTAGGGGCGTGAAGGTCTGCCCCTCTTCGTGAGTGCGCCTCAACATAAGCGCGATTCACCCGCGGGTTTTGTGGGGATGATTTTCATTTCATTCTTTTGTTCCCTGTTTCATATCACCTTCCGAAACAGGCGGATTTCACCGTTGTTACCCTCCTGGAATGCGCAACAGCAAGCTGTACTTCCATCTGCATCAGTGAAACGAAGTCAGCAGCTGCACCACCTCCGTTAGCGGTGAGGATGCGAGTGTGCGACACGGCTCTTCTCCCCCCGATCCTGGGTGGAGACGGTGAAGGTACCGCTTAGCAAAGCTAGCGACTCCTAAACCAAATCTTTGTCAGAGCAACCGAGCTCTGACATTTTTACAGACTTTGCTTGTAGAAGATAACCACCCCTTAGGTCCACGCTTTATTTATTGAGGAACAGTTCATTTTACTCCTTTCCCCAATGAATGTCTCAATAGCTCAGTAACACCTACCACAGATGAAACAGGTTGTCTTTAGTATTTCCTCCTTTTTCTGCTTTTCACTCCTGAGATCAGCAAACGTATCAATGATGACTCCAAAGATTAGGTTTAGAACAATAATTATGACAATGAAATAAAACAGAAGATCATAAACAACTCGCGCAGCAAACAAGGGCTCCTGAAACAATAATAAGGTTGCAATAAGACACAAAAATAGCACACCTCTGAAATATTAAACAACATCTTCACATTAGCTCAAGCAAAGCTACACATCTTTCTTCCCATAAGCCAAATTCTGCTAGCCTTACTCACAGAAATAGAGAGGGACTATCTGTGTGGCTAAGCAAAGATTTGGCTCCCTGTGCTCTTATCGCTCGGGGATTCCTGTTGTCCTTTACGCTGTCTCACAGAGCACGAAGAACAGACTATCTTGTGTGCCGGATGCAGCGTAGAGGCACTAGTGTAGTGCTCAGTTGAAGATAATTACCTTGCCGGTACAGAAGCAGGGATATAGAATCATAGAATCATAGAATCATAGAATCATAGAAT